CCAACTGCGATTCACCCCTCCCTCCTAGCAACCCTCATCTCCTCGCACAAGATGGGGTCGCTTCTGTGTCCAAGCTGTGCCTTCCTGTTCCTGCTCCTGCTCCTTCCCTGGCTGGGGCTCTGGGTTCCACAGGTGACATGGGTGGGGCACAGCCTGGGGCTCTGCACTGCTGGCCCTGGAAAATGGCGTCTGGAGGATCAGGGGCTACTCCGTCCCACTTCAGACTCACCTCCCGGGTGCCACCTCCAGGCAGGCGGCTACCACCAAAGGGCAGCCTGAGAGACAGCCCCACACTCTGCCTGAACTGCGATGAGGAAGAAGCAGGAGCCAAAAGCAACACATGGGTCCCAAGTCTCACAGCAGCTACTGGTGGGTCCTCTAGTTAGAAAGTTCTTCCAGGCCTGGGGCCAGCCAACTTCAGCCACCGCCCCGCACAACAGTTCTGCAGGTCTCATAACAGAACCCCACCCTGCATCAGTACCCTTCCCACCAGAGGCTCTAAGGCTGGGTCTAGGCCCAGAGGGGTGGGGTGGGGCGAGGAGTAGGGGAAGGCATGGCCAGCTGGTGCACCCAAGAGGAAGACCCACCTGCCCCACTCTAGCCCTGCCTATATAGGAAGAGGGTAAAGGGTCAATGTCAAGCCTCCAGGTGATGTTGCACCCCAGTCCTGACCAACCCTGGGCCTGTGTCTTGATGCCCAAGCCCCCAAGAACAAGGCAAGTGTTCATGGCAGAACTTTACTAGGTTCCACTTCCTTGCCTCAGACTCAGACCCTGGGGGCTCAGACAAACCTATTGCATTTCCAGCCTTGTTGGGGAGAAGAGGACAACTCCAGGGGGTCCTCGGTCAGACCTCCGTCCCAGGGCCCACTCATCACACCTGCGAGTGCACTGGCCCCCTCACAGCTGAGTCAGGTAGCAAGCAGATGGGACTTTGAGTCTCTTTTCAGTTGTTGGTTGTTTGTAACCAGGCTGGCCCTTAGACTTTTAAAACTGGACAACTGGGCCTCTCTGAACTAAGCCCCACACTCCCGCTCATATGCTGCCCCCTGCTGGCCACCTCACGCGAGTGTTCAAGCACCATTTTAGGGTGAGCTACAGTCTCAATGGACATAGGGTCTGGGAGTCCGTTGGGGGAATTACCCCTTTTGTTTAGGGGCTCTAAACCGGAGAGTTTTAAAACTGGTTAGAATTCATGGGTCCAATGAACTTGGATAAAGATATTATACCTTCATAGCCCTGGCTGTGTAGTTCAGTTGCCCTGGCTGTGTAGTTCAGTTGGTTAGAGTGTCATCTCAATACTCCAAGGTTGTGGTTTTGATTCCCAGTCAGGGCACATATGAGCCAATGAGAGGGATGGGGAGAAAATACAGACAACTGTAACTGAACAACAATACAATAATTTAAATTTAAAAAATCAACCGATGAATGCATGAATGGGTAGAACAATGAATCAGTGTTTCTCTCTCTCTCTCTCAAATTAATAAATATTTTAAAAATCTAAAAAAATAAAATAAAAAAACACCACATCTTCATTTTTATTCATCTCTACCTCAAATTTAGAATTTCCCTTGATTATGAACATCAGCAACAAACCACGATAGCTTTAGCAGACTCTGACTTCGCCATTAGGAAGAGAAATCACAGATGTTTTCATATCACATTATAGTGATTGCAGAATAGATATGGATAGAGGTGTCTATATACAGTTTTTAATACCTAAAAATATAGGGTTACCATACGTTTTGTGCACATAAACACCTTACTGTCCATGTGCTCCAGCAGACAATAACAAGGGGTCCAGGACACATAAGAGAGTCAGGTACCTCTGCACTAGTTGCCAGACGGTGAAGTGGGGGGTGGCTCTTAGACAACTAGGGAGGAGGGCCCGGGGGGCTTGAGACAGTGGCTCTTCCCCAGCTGGAAGGGAAGCATCCCAGTCTTTTACTGCGGGCTCTGCAGCCCCAAGTGCAGCCTGCAGCCAGCCCAGGTGGGCATGAATGGGCTGTCCCCCTCTAGTGTCTGGGCTTTGCTGCTCAACCCAATGGTAGGGTCTTCATGACACTCCTGAAGAGTCAAAGTAAAAATATCTGGCTGACTTCAAAGTGACAGAATCCAAGCGCAGTCCAGAACAAACTTCAAAGTCAATAGCTCGAGCTAATCACAGCCAGGACTAGCCCCACCCCATGTGTCTTCCTCCTTCAACCGTCCAGGAATGCCCTGGGTCCCTAGGGAAAGTGCCAGGAACCAGATGCAGCAAGGGGCCCCACTAGCAGCCAGACCAATGCCAGAGACATAGAGACTTAAAAGGAGACAGGGGCCCAGGGACACAGGCCTCTCTGGGTGAGTGCCAACCTGGTAACCTGGTACCTGCCACAGGGGTGAGGACCTGGGAACACAGACGGCCCTCCCTGCCAGAAGGTGGACATGCAGCAGGCCCGACCCAGGCCCTCGGCCCAGCTTGGCTTAGAAGGCACAGTGGGGACTGTTATCAGGTGGCAGGAGAGGGTCCTCTTCCTGACACCAGTGCACAAGGCCAAGAGGCCTTCTTGTTCACCGTAACTTCTCGTGTAACCCCACAAACACCACCTCCGACCCCAAATACTGCTATACTTATATAGCCTCATCTGCCAACCAATCCCCAGCCCCACCCCATGCCCCTTCCTCACCTTTGTGGCAATTTCTGACCACCTGCTTCTTGGCGAAATTCTTTCTTCCCTTTGCTTCATCATAACCGGCTGCTCTAAAACAGGCTCCTGTGCCCAGCTTTACGGCAGCTACCCCATCCCCATTACTACTCCTCACCCCCCACCCCGCTCTCAAACGTTCCCAGCCTTCCCTTGGGTTACAGGCTCTCATTCAGGGACCCTCAATTGGGGATGTGGACTGTTGGCACTGAGTGCCCCATTAATTAGAGGACATTTGGCACTTCTGCCCCCTGCTCACCAAACCACAGTAGTGCCACTTGGGGACCCCATAACCTCAGCCACCCCACACTGTGAGCAATGAACTGTGACCCCTGACCTCCAGGCATCACTGTCTCCAGCCCTTATCCCCTTCTGGGTCTCAGTGCCCAAATTTCCTGTTTCCTGATCACCTCCGCCAGGACATGCGGACCACACCACAGCAGGTTCCAACCTGAACTCATCACCTCTCACCAGCCCCCACCATGATCCAACCTGGGTTCCCAGGCCCGGGAATGACAGCCCTATCCATCCAAACCCTCGAGTCAAAACCAGGGATTCGACCTCGGCTCCTCTTGTGTCCAAGTCCCTCACCCCATCTACCGCCAGTCCTGGAGACTTCGCCTCTTGAAAATCTCAGCCTCACGTCTTCCTCCCCATCTCCGTGCATAGGGGCCTGACTCAGTTCGCCTCCATCTCTCACGCGATCCGGGCCCCTCCGCGCACCCTCTGCCTCTGCAGGGCAGGGCGCAGACTCAGGGTCAGGCTGCCTGGATCTGAATCCTGACACCGCCACTGAACTGCAACACTGGCAAGGCAAACTAATCTCTCTGCGCCTGCATTTTCTGCAAAATTAGCATAATAATAGCGCCTTCCTCAGAAATTATTGTGAACATTCTGTTAACACATACGAAGTGCCCAGCTGTGGGCTCGGCACTCAATGTTATTTTTAGTCTCACTCTTTCCAATCCAGCCTTCACTCAGCAGCCAGAGATAATCTGACCACGTCCTCCTCCTCCATGGCCCCCACCTTCCCCAGGAGAAGCCCCAACATCTGAGCAAGGCTCCACAGAGCTGCCTTCCTTTCACACTACAAATACACTCTCCTGGACACACCTCATAAATCTTGCCTCCAAACCTTTGCTTTACGCTGCTCCCTGTGCCTAAATGCGCTCTCCCCTCTCTTCCCATCAAAGTCGTCCTGAGTTCACATGCTATTCCAACTCCGCCTCCTCCAAGGTTCCTCCCCAGAACCCTCCAAGCAGGTGGCTCTTGCTCCCCTATATGCCCGGCCCATTGCATTCTAGGGGCAGGTCTTTTTTCCGTGCCTCACTCACTCTAGAATTCCGAGTGCAGCCCAGGCCCTGGCCCCCAGCAAGTGCTCCACAGGAACTGGCCAAATGGCGGTGCATCTAGGCCCCTTAAAGGTTAGATTTAACTCCTCAGCCCAGAGATGACCGACACCAGACATATCCAACTTAGCACCTGAAACAGTAGGGTATGAATCCTGAGATAAGCTCTCCACCTACCCGAGTTTCTGAACTTCATGAAGGAAAGGAAGACCTCTTCTGGGGCTGGGGTGGGGCTGGGGGCTGTGTGAAATGCAGGGTGGCCAGGCCAGGGGGCTGCCCAAGGCGGCTGAGGGCTCCAGGCCTTAGCCACAGCCCTGTCCACCTCTCTCAGAGGGCTGGAGGCACAACCTAGTGGTCCTAGTGGTCCTAGTGGCCTTGGGGGTCGGAGAAGGTAGGGTAAAGAACAAGACCACATCCCTATGCCTTCCCTGCCACCCTAGATTGGGGGCCCTTGTCCCAGCAGCCTCTGCTGTCAGGGCTGGCTGACTTCGACCTATAGCTTCCCCTCTCCTCTGAATCTCCTCACCCTTCTTTTTTTTTTTTTTTAAGATTTGTTTAATTATTTTTAAAGAGAGGGGAAAGAAGGGAGAGAGGGAAACATCGATGTGTGGTTGCCTCTCACATGCCAACTGGGGACTGGCCAGCAACTCAGGCATGTGCCCTGAGAATCGAACTGATGACCCTTTGCTTCACAGGCTGGCACTCCATCCACTGAGCCACACCAGCCAGAGCTTGATTTTTTTTTAATTCTTACTGTTGCCATTTAGTCCCCTTATACCCCCTCCCCCCAGCAATCACCACACTGAATCTCCTTCTTTATCAGAGAACCGTGTCCAGCTGTAACACATACTAAATGCTGACTCGAGGTGCCGAGAGGATTAGGGCACAAGAGGACTTGAGGACTACATTATTGCCTGACCCCCACCCTTGCCTCCCCAACAGGCATATGCTGGCCCACAACCACAGAACAGAAAAGGAGGAAGAGTTTATTGAAAACTATATACAGTCAGTCCAGCCCCTACCACAGGTGGCAGTCTGAGCCGATCCCTCCCACACCCCAGGCAGTGTCTTGGCCCCTGATGGTGGAGGCTAGGACTGGGGCCAGGGCCCAGGCTCCCTTGGGAAGCTTGGCAGCCAGACCCCATCATGGATCTTCATCTGTGAATTAACAAATCTAAATGGCCTACAAGGAATGGGCCCCTGCCCTGACCCAGTCACAGCCTGGCTAGATGCACACTATTCTGCAACAGCCAAGAGGCCCAGCTAGGCTGTCCAGAAGTCCTGTCTACTCCCACAGGAGGCCTTCCTGGACGTGGAGGCAAAGAGCCCCCCTACCACCCTACCCCACCCCAGGTGCCGGAACCCATGAGCTTTATGGGCTTAGGCTGAGGACATCAGACACCCCCACTCCCAACACAGACTCAGGGTCCAGGGCTCCTGGGACACTCCCCAGGCAGAAGACTTGGGGTTGAGAGGTGAGTGTGGGGCAGTTGCGGCCGAGGGCCCGGGGCCGTCCTGGGGCAGGAGCAGCCGCAGGGGTCAGGGCGTCCCACTGTAGGAATAGTCTGCTTTGTTGTGCATCACCAGCCGGTCGTCCACGAAGTAGAAGCTGTCAGACTGCGTCTCATAGGGGTGGCGGATCATCTCATTGACTGCAAGAAAGGCCCAGCCAGGTGGGGCAGAGTTCAGGAGCCAGCTCCAGGCCACCGCAGGGCCTGCAGGACTGTGGGACGGGGACCAGCAGAACAACCTCAAAGAATTCCCTGGGCCTCTCTGAGCTTGAGTTTCCCTATAGGCGACGTGGGAATGGTGGCCAGACACAAGAGACCCAAGGTGGGAAGAAAGGGGGTCAGACCCAACCTCCCCCCAGCTTGGTCTCCCTGAGTCCGCTGCCCACGGGGCCTTGCCCACTCACTCAGCTCCTCAGACAGAGGCGGGAAGTCGTAGATGTGCTCGCAGGTGTTCTTGCTGCTGGGGATGCAGAAGCCAAAGTGGAAGTCAAAGCTTTTGAGCAGCTGGTTTCGGAAGTAGTGCCTCTCAATCATGCGGAAGTTGTTGACAGGCTTGTCTCCCACCGTGAACTCCACCCTGAGGGAGAGAAGGAGTGGGGCTGAGCTCGGCCTGGGAGTCAACCAGCCACATTCAGCAGACTGCCCCTGAGAGAGGCTGAGGGAGAACTCAGGAAGGGCTCACTCCCACCCCACCCTCACCTCCGGCCCTTGACCCCCCACCCCGGCCCAGTGACTCACGTGGCTCCCACCTGCCTCAGGCGGAGGAAGGCAGGCGTGAACTGGTAGCGAACAAAGCGCCCAGCATTGGGGTCCAGGTCCCGCTGGTTGATGGGCAACCGCTCTGCAATGCACCCCAGCTGGGGCTCAGTGGGCTTCAGACTGGGGCCCAGGCCCACCCAGGCTTTCACCCCAGGGCCCCCATCTCTCAGAACTTTTATAAACTCCCAGGAGATTCTGATGCACGCGGAGGGTTCAGACCTTTGGCTGAACGGTTCCACCTGCAGGTTCTAGGCCAGCAATCAAAATTTTCAACTGAGGTTCCCAGGAACCACAAGGAGACACAAGGCCTGAGGCCCAAGGACTGTAGTTCCCAGGAAGGTCTTCAGAGGGCAAGCTGGCAGGGACCGAAGGGACAGAGCTGTCCCAAAATGTCCAATCCCAGAAGCGGATGGGACGGAAAACAAGAGGCGTGCCCAGTGGTAGGTGCCCTGCTGAGAACTCCTGGGAATAATGAGGTCCACGCCCAGCTCTGGTCCGACCCCTCTGCGTCCTGAATGGTCCCTGGGAGCCCACCTCACGGCTCGCATCCACTCCCTCTGTCCATGGCCCACCCGCCACTCACCTGAGGCTGGGGGCTTCTTGATTTCAAAGAGGACAGTGCCTGAATCCATGTCCCGAATCTTGAACCTGATGAAGTCGATCTTATATATATTCTCCTCCGGGGAGCATAAGTAGTCTAGGGGAGACAGGTGGCTGCTGCCAGCTCAGCTTGTGTGGGACTCTGGACTAGCTACTACTTTCTCAGATCCCTAAGGTCACTGCCTTCCAGATAAAGAGGAATGAGCCCCTGCCCTTGAGGAACCCCACCATGTCGGGGGAGGCAGCTCCTTGACCAGGATCTAATGGGGACCAACAGCTCCACCTAGTGGCCTCTGGGGGCAGGGAGGGGCAGGGCAGAGAAGAGTGGAGGACAAGTCACCTCCCCCACATTTTCCCTCCTACCCTGTAGCTGAGAGGGCCCTATTCCAGACTCTGCTTTGCCAGGGCTGGCTTGGTGACTCTGAGTGAAGTGGGTCTCCATTCTCATGGCAAGCCCCCAGCATGATAGGGCAGACACAGCCCTGCCTTTAGGAACTTCACTCTGAAAGGACACAGCCTGCCCTCAGGAGACAGTGGTTCTCTGGGGGACACCCTCACCTCCGCCACATGGCTGCCCCTGGTGCTACATCTCTGTGTGTCAGCCAAAGACCCTCTCTGGCCTGGGTACTGATGGAGTGTTGGGGCAGAGAAACAACCCCTTCCCTGTTCTTCCTCAACCCTGCCCCCCACCCCTGTCACCTCCTAGCCCCATAAGCAGCTTATACAAGCCTGGCTCCCTTAAGCAGCTTAGCCAAAGCTCTGCTGACTCAAATCCAGAACCTGGAGTATTGGGGGAAGGGAGCCATCTTTGCTCCCCTCCCCTGTTGCTCTCCAAACGGGAGGAAGTCTTAGTAAACAGAGGGAACCCCTTCAAAGGTCATTTAGCCAGCCTTGGCTCTGAGCCTCTCCCAGAGAGAAGGGGGGGTGGGGCAGGAAGAGGGTGTGGCAGGTGCAGCAGAGGGCGTGCATGGGGGTAAAGGGGAGTCCTCAGCAGGCAGAAGAGGAACCAGGCACAGGGGCGGGCCCGCCTGAGGCAGCTCAGGAATACCAGGGCCTGATCCAATGCCTGCAGCAACTGCAAGTGCTCCGGAGGCCCTGGCAACAAATAGGAAGGGGCAGCGAGGGACTCGGGTGCTATCAGCCTGTACAGCACTACATCCTCCCCATAGAGGCCCGGAAATCACCACCCCCCACCCCAGGCCCCTGGGCCACCTCCTATTCCTCTGGGGCAGGAAGAGGAAGTAAATGTAAAGTCGTTCTCTCTTCCCCAAGCCTGGGGCAGCACCATGCACGAAGCCCTCCTGGTAGCCACCTAGCACCCTGGTGTCGAGCAGAAACTACACCAGGCTTGGGAAGGGGCCTGAGCCCTGGCCTGTCCACCTTAGCCCATGGTAAGGAGAAGGCAGAAGGAGGAAATAGAAGTGGGCAGTCCCATCTCACCCCGTACACACCTTATTTTCACAGAAAGTAAGCACTAGTCCAAAGATCCAGAAAGAAGGTGCGGGGCGCAGGGAGAGGAGGTGGCAAAACTGGGAGCAGGATCCCAGCTCCATGTAAAACATCCCCTTCCTCTAGTCTCCAACTTTTGGAGCCTCTCCTCTCATTTGGGAACTTCCTGCAGTCTGATCTCAGCCTCTCCTACTGCAACTCAACCTATCAACCCCTCGGACCTTAGTTGAAGTGAGGGACCGGGGATGCCAATGGCTCAGGACACCACAGCCACTCCCTCCTTTCTGCCTGGTCAGGCTGGAGAAGGGGCAGAGTGGCCAAGGGCTCAGAACACAACTGCTCCCTTCCCCTCAGCCACAAATAGCTTCCTAAGCTGGACTCAGGGACCAGTAATCCAGGTGGAGCAAACCTTCAACCTATGGGATTAGGGTCAGAAGAGACCAGGAGGTGCCAGGATGGCAAGCCCTGGCACCCTGTCCTCAACTTCTATAGAGGAGAGAGCTCCCTCTATAAGCTCCTTCCTCCACTCACCCCCCCACAGATGCCTCAGCTTAAGGGCTATGAATTTCCTCCAAGTTAGGAGACAAATGGTGGTATGTGGGCTGAACACCTCTCCGCCCCAGTAGGTGCAAAATAACCTCTAAAGTTGCCTAGGACCTGGACAGGTCAGCCTCTCTTCCAGACATCCTATAAGGAAGCTCTGCCCCAGAGCTAGCCTGAATCCCAAATGCTGCTTTTGCCAATTATAGCCCAACTGGCACCAACATCAGACTGGTCCAGGCCCCTCTCAGTACCAGTGCCTACGTGAGCAAGACAATTCAGCACTCTGGAGGCCCAGCCAAGAATGGTTGCTGCCTGGCTCAGAGAGGAAGGAGAAGCTGGTCCCCTAGGGACCCAGATGTACAGGCCCAGACCTGCTATCACGATCCCTTCCACGGCTGTCTGGCAGCCCTGGGCCCTGCTGCTCCTACAGCTCCAGAGCTTAGGCCCATTCCAGCACCTGCACCTCCACAAAGAGACCCCGAGTTGCTCACAGAGGGAGCCAGGGCAGGGTCACTGATGAATGAGGCCAAAGTGAAAGGCAGTCAACTACCTTTCCAAATGTCTTCTTCTGTTCTTTGAGGTTCAGCTACCACTTCTGCCATGAGGCTTCCTAGCCCTCGTTCCCTGCCTATGGTGACCTCTGCTGCTCTGAATGCCCAGTTGTCTGCTTCCAGGCAGCAGCCAGTAGTCCTATGGGGCCTTCAGTACTACTCACAAAAGAGCCCTGTTACCAAGCAAGCACAGCAAGCCAGGCACTGTGCAAAATCAGAGAATTTTTCACAATGGCCCTACAATGTGCCATTATCCCCATTTTACAGATGAACATGCTCAGAGAAGTGAGGTTACTTGCCCAAGGTCACACAGTAAGTTATAGCACAGCTGGGACAACCCAGGCAGCCCAGCTCAGAAACTCAACCACCGTGAAGACCTCCAGGCCTCCAAGAAAGGGACTGGGCCCGGTCCAGGCTAAGGGGGGTGGTAACCTACTCCCTTTGGAGGTCCCGGGCCCAACCCACTGAAGCTTCCTGCTCAGGTCCTTTCCTGGGGAGGGAGATGGCCCCACTTCCTAGGGGATCCAGAGTGAGGGCATTAACAGTCAGGGAGACCTGAGGGTCCTCATGTCACCTGAGCAACTCAGCCTCTATCTCTCGCCTGCAGGCTGGGGACGGAGGACAGACTGCACTCAGCCTCCCTCCTCACTACTGCAGAGGAAAGACTCAAAGGGCTCTAAAAACCTCATGGGGAAGGGGTCACAGTTGCAGCTGCTACCCCACCTCCACCACGGGAAAGAGGGCTGGACTCCTCAAAAAGGAAGGAGTGGGGTGGAAATAAATCTCTAAAGGGAGAGGAGAGAGCACACGAGATCAGGGAAAGGGGGGACATGGAGATCTCAGGCTTGGCGGCAGAAGGGTACGGGACTCAGGCGAGGGGTACCCGGTGGGGGAGGCGAGGCAAGGGGAGGGCGGGAAAGGGGGCGGGGGGCCGGGGTTTGCGAGGGCCCCCTCCCTCCCTCAGGCGCGCTCCCTCGCCGGTGCTCACCGCCCGTGATCCGCTGAAGCCCCAGCACATCCTCCGGCCCGATGGGCTGCCTCCTCTGCAGCGGCCCCGGCCTGGGCCCTGGGCCTACCTCCGGTTCCGACTCGGACCCGGATTCGGATTCCGCCTGAGGCTTTAACTCTGGCTTTAGCTCCACGCTCAGGCCTGAGGCCCCTGGAGCGGACTCCGCCCCCGTCCCGGGCCCGCTGCAGCCCTGCTTCACCTTCATGGCCTCGTGGGGCCGCCGCTCGCCTGCTGCCGCTGTGGCTGCCTGCGCTGGCTGGAGCCAAGCAAGGGGAGTCTGCAGCCCCACCCCCGCCAGAGCCTCAGGTACCGCCCCGCCCCGCCCCTGGGCCCGCCCACCTAGCTGAAAGGATGGGGACACCCGTACCCCGCTACTCACCCAGGGCAAGGTGGGGGCTCGCCCTAGGCTTCACTAATTTTATCAAGGGGTCCTGGCTACCTTTCCTGTGCTCCGCCCTCTGCCCTGCTCTCTGCCCCTAAAGCGAGTTCCCATCTCAGGATCTTTGCCTGGGATACTCCCCTTCCCCCCACCCCCCCTGAGTGGCCTCTTGTCCTTCTGGTCTCAGCTCAAATGTCATCTGCTCAAAGGCTCTCCCTCGCACCCAATTCAAACTACTAACGGCAGCCAGTATCCGACCAGCCTGGTTTTTCTTTCTAGTGCATTATCTGAAATGTTTCATTTGTTCAGACTCTTCCCCCTAAAAGAACAGTTCTGGGAAAGCAGGGATACCGTCTTTGTTCTCTATAACTCACCACTTGGCACAGTACCAATGCTCGATATATTTTTTTAATTGATTTTGAGAGAGGAAGGGAGAAAGGAACATCAATTTGTTGTTCCACTTATTTATGCATTCATGGGTTGATTCTTGTTTGTGCCCTGCCCAGGGATGAACCTGCAACTTTGGCATATGGGGGACAATGCTCTAACCAACTGAGCTACCTGGCCAGGGCAATATATTATTTTTTTGAATTCATTAAAGAGTTAGTTTCTGAAGTCTTACACTAGCACAATTCTCTCCCAGACCCCCAGCTAAAAAGCAGAAGTAGATGTTAACAGCCTTGCTGGGCAAACCAAGACACGCCAAGGGACAACTGCCTAGTTGTCTAAGCCACCACAGGGCCCCCAGAACAGGGAGGCAGGAGGTCACATGGCCAGTCAGAAGCATGGTGGCCTATGAGCCCAGGACAGATACTAGGTGACCATTACTTACATGTGAGTGAACCAAAGCTCTGCTCAAACTTCATGTCATTCCAATTCAGTCTATTTATTGAGAGCCTAGAATATGCCAGACACTTTCAAATGCATATCACATTTACTCCTCACACCCACCTTGTAAGGGAGGTATCACTAGTGTCATACTTTTTAACAAATGAAAAACTGAGGCTCAGGGAGATTAAGTAGCTTATTCAGAGGCCCCCAGATGTTAAGTGCAGAAGCCAGGGTTTGAATTCAGGCATGTTTGATCCCAGGTCTCTACAAAAGAGTGAAGGGAACCTCCGCCACACACAGCACGAGGCTGTAACTCAACAGATAAAACTAGCCAGGAGGAGGAGGTGACCTGTGCCTGGCCCTTCTACGAGAGCGGTGCTGGGCTCTCTCTGAGGGGCAGAGAGAAGCACGGAGGGGAAGGGGCTAGAGAACAACCCGGGCTTTCCCCTGACGCTCCCTCTCAGTGCAAAAGGGCTGAGGGACAGGGCGGAAGCACAAGCTGCCTCTGCCCCAGAGGTAAAGGGCCTTCAAGCTCAGGCCAGAGAAGGAGACCAAGATGACACATCTTTTGAGGATGGGGGTGGAACGTCTGAGCCAGAAGAACGGAGTGTTACACTTGGTGGCTGGAGAGGCAACGGGGGAGGCTGGAGACAGTTCCTTCTCGGCAGGCCCCGTTTATGTGCCTCTCCATCTAGCATCTCCCGCCCCGGCCAGAAAGGAAGGCTTCCTGCCAAGACGCCGCCCTGCTCAGTCTGTCCTCACGGGCTTTCTCCAGGACTCGTGGATCTCCAGGAAGATCTTGCCCAGAGACAGGACGATGGGCACAGCCATCGGCAGGAAGAGCGGGATGTAGATGGCAAACTTCTGGTCATCAGGGAAATAGAGGAGGTGGAGGAGCGAGGGATCAAAAAAGGCACGCTCCGAGGATGTCACAGCTTCCCGGCTGGCGACGAAGGCAGAGGCCAGGTGCCCAGAGGTCAACTCCAACGCTGCCTCATAGACTGCGTCTACAGCCCTGTACACCTAGGAAGGGGGCAGGGGTCACCAGTGAGTCCTAGGCACTGATGAAGAGGGTAGGGGTGACAGGTTTTACTGTTTCTTCCATCTACCAGACAGGTTACCTGGAGTTTGCCCAGGTTATAGGGAAGCTAGTATAAAAGCGCTATGGTGTACTTCCTTAGTGCCTGCTTAAAATCTCACTTCCTCCCATCTGCACTCCCACTGGGGGCTGGCCCCGCCCTCTAGAGGAAGCCCAGGGCACTCAAGGCTGGCAGGCCCACACACATCCTGGACCCCCGCTGGCTCTACTTTCCCCACACCCTGACCCTCAGTGGCCACTGCAATCCTGGGCCACTGAATCCACCCCCGCCCGCTTACCTCGGATGCCACATTGTCCTTAATGACAATGTTGCTGATCTTGCCCAGAAGCTGGGCCAGGGAAGTGAGAGTGGTGGTGGCTGTGGCGAGGTTCTCCACGGACCGAGCCCACAGCAGCCGATCTACCTCCCAAGTCATGAGCCCTTCGCTCTTAGGCCCTGAAAACAGGCATTTTGGAGGCAACTTGGGCTGGGAAATCCCAAAGAGCAGCCTGTAGGAACAGCAAAGAATGTCAAAGGGGCTGACTAGAAAGTGGGAGAGGATGGCTAAGATTCCTACAGCGATGGATTTTCAACCTTACCCAGGCCCACAGGAGCTGCAGGGAAGGGCCTCGGGGTCTTCTTGGGAGGTAAGTGGCAACACTAAGCAATCCAGTACCCCAAGCCCTGGTTTACCTGTGCTTTAGCTTTTCCCTGTTTCTATATTGGACTTCCAAGATCTTATTTGACGAAAGGTTCCATGACTAAAATATTTCTGGTAACACCAACTTAAGTTTAATCCTCATCACCCCATCTACCCTGTCTTTGGACACATGGGGCCACCCAGCCTTAGTGAAGGGATGATCCAGGACCATCTCTGACCAGATGCGGGTGCTGTGCCTCTCCATTCCCGCACCCATGGCAGCACTGCTAATCAATCAGAATCCTCTTTCCTAACGAGCCCAAAGAATCCTCAACACAGGGCATCACGCAGCCACTACCAATAGATCAGTTGGCATAAGAATCAATGGCCATTTTTCTTAAGCATCCCTAATCACAACCCAGGGACCTGACAATTCATGAGTCTATTTTTTTCTTAAAAGTTTTTGTCGGCAACTAATTTTTCTTAGGAGAAAAACCAAGTGATCCTTGGAAACATTTCTTGGTTTCCTAGGGCTCTAGGCACAGCTGAGGTAACCCTGCCAGGTGAGATTTTATTCGAATCAGCCCAGGAGGCTGTGGCCAGTCAGGGGCCATGTGCCCACATGGACCCCCTAGGACCTCACCGCAGCTGAGC